GATTTTTTAATTTAAGAAATTCTCTTTAATACCATTATTTGTCTTCATTATGACAAATAAAAACTAGGCACAGAAGGAGCGATCGAAGCGAGAGAGACTTACCTGAGTAGTTTTGGCCATTCTCATCATGGTCATTATAGGAGGTCTAAGTCTTAATGTTTCTTTTATGCAGCGATCAAGTAAATTTAGATCCTTGAGCTAAAAAGAAAAGGTATTTCCTGATTCTTTACAAGTTCTTAATATATTCGACAGTATAAAAACATTACTTTAACATTTTGGTTAGTATAAGACAGGCTGCACTCTGGATGAAAGAGCAGGATGACTGGCTCAAGGTGGCTGAGATTACTGAGGACTATCACACCAAAGGTCAACAAAGGGAAAGGAAGGCAAGATAACAGGAAGTGGGGCAAACACCCTGAAGGACAGCATGGGAAGGAAAAAGGAGATCCACTCCTCCAAAAAAACAAGAGCATTGGGCCAGAGATTTAGCTCAGTGGTTCCGTTGCCTGCCTCACAAGTGCAAGGTCCCATTCAATCCCCAGTACCAAAAAAAAAAAAAAAAAAAAAAATGAGCATTAGCAAAGTATCATCAATGTCAACTTTTTCAAAACTCTGGAAAATCAAAGGCTTTTAACAATCTAAAGGAGAATTGATTGAAGAAATAAAAGCTGAATCTTGGTGAGAAAAGCAATGTTTGTAGTAGCATAAGAAGCTAAAAAGTATTTCCTAAATTTTTGAATACAGTGTAAAAATCCTCAACAAAACATTAACAAGTGAAATTCAGCAAATACAAAGAGGAAAAGAGAGGGAGGGGAGGAGGGAGAGAGGGAAAGAAAAGAAAGGAGGAAGGGATGGATGGAAGGAGGAGGAAGGAAGAAAAGCAAGGAAGGAAAGGATAGATTATATACCCTATGATAGGGCCAGGGATTTAGCTCAGTGGTTTCGCCGCCTGCTGCGCAAGCACAAGGACCCAAGTTCGATCCTCGGTACCAAAAATAAATAAATAAATATACCCTATGATAAAGTAAGATTTATCCAGGAATACAAGAATCAACATCTGAAAAGTCAATGTAATATCCCATACTAATAGAAGATCAAAACACACACCAGGAAGAAGATGTGAGCAGGGTTTGCTTCAAAGATGGAATCTCAGGTTATACTGAAGCCTTCTCATTTCCTTGTCTGCCCAGCAAGCTGGTTGCAGTGTTTGTAGATTTTAAGACCCCACTACCACCATTACTCCTTTTAGTAGATTCTGCCCAAGTACAGACCATTCTGGACACACAACTATACACAATTCAAAGGATTTTACACTTCGTAAGACACACACGATAAAGCTTAATGGGAAGAAATTTTAGAATATTTTAGGTAATGTTATAGGAAATTTCCTAAAACATAGATAAGCCTAATTTAAGGTAAAGTATAAAAAAAAAACCTCAATTTGTCCTTTAAAACAGATAAATTAGCCACAGATGCTAAAACTTGTAAAACAGAAATGAAACAAAAATCCAACAAACCTGGTCATAGGTTAAAGGAGGCAGGTCCTCACCACAGACTGTTTTCTGTTCTAAATAACATTTTTCTTGTAGTGCTTTGTCTCTGGCCACAAAGAAGCCCAACCAAGCACTAGTGGTTGAGGACGTGTGCTGCCCTGCCAAAAGCAGTCCAATAAGCATCCCTGCTATTTCATCATCTGTCAGAGGATGGCCATCCCTGCAGAATGAATCACACAGAACCTGCACATCTCAACAGACACATTTCATGTCTCAACCTGAATACGTTTTTCAGGCGTAACAGCCCCTTTCACTTCCCTACCCCACCCCGTAAGAATCCCCTACCCTGCCCCAAGAGACTGCCACTGGAAACATGATAAGCACATAGTCACCATGCTCAGTCACTGGCATTCCAGTAAGTAATGTCATAATGACATAAATTCAATAATTTAGGTCTCAACAATTTAAAATCCAAAGGTCACAGCTACCAACTTATTTTGTCAACCTAATTTTAATGGGAAATATTATTTAACTATGTTTTAATGTGTAATTTCCCACTTTAGCTTAATATGTCATGAGAATAACACTTACTTGTATGTAGACTCTAGTAAAGTTTGAAGAATATCATCAACTTTTTCTTTTGATTGCCTACGCTTCTGAATTGCCTTATAAAAAATATTCTTGATCTCTCGATGAGCTCTGTCTCTACGTCTGAAATTTAAACATAAAAACTATTTTTTAAAAAAATAATACTTTCTAGTATTAAATTCACTTTGAAAACCAGGACCTAGCTTAAAGCAACCTTATTTAACTAATTTTAATGACCCTAAATTAATTAACAAAAACCAGAACCAGCTAGACATAGTGGCAAACACCGTGGATTGCCAAGTTAAAGGCCAGCCTGGACCACTTAGACCTTAGCTCAAAATAAAAAAAAGGGGCTGCTGGGGATGTAGCTCAGTGGTGAAGCACATACCTAGCATGTGTGACACTCTAGGTTCAATCCCCAGTACAACAAAAAAATAAAAATCTAGAACCAAGAAAAACCTCCTAACAATCTTATTAAGAATTTCTGGGTTGTGGGGGAAAAAGGAAACTTCTCCACTAAAGGTGGGAGTGTAGAATGGTCCAGCCACTGTGGAAATCAGTGTGGAGAGTCCTCAAAAAACTAGGATTGGAGGGCCAGGGATTTAGCTCAGTGGCACAGCGCCTGCCTCAAAAGCACAAGGTCCTAAATTCAATCCCTGGTACCGGGGGCGGGGGGAAGAATATGAGAAAACTAGGATTGGAGGCGCCATTTGACCCTGCTAATACCCTGCTGGTTATCTTCCCAAAAGAATTAAAAGAATTGGGCCCAGAATTTAGCTCAGTGGTTTCACCGCCTGCTGAGCAAGTGCAAGGACCCGAGTTCGATCCGCAGCAACAAATCAAACAAACAAAAAAAAAGAATTAAAAGAATCATACCACAGCGATGTATGTGCACCCATGTTTATAGCAGCCCAGTTTGTAATAGCTAAAGCTTGGAAACAGCCCAAGTGCCCATCAACTGGAAACTGGATAAAGAAGATGTGGTTTTTTTATAAAATGGAGTATACTCAGCCATAAAAAAATGATAGACTAGAGACATTTATAGCTAAATGGATGTACCTTGAAATCATACTCTTAAGTGAAATAAATAGGACACACATGTGTAAATACCAAATAGTTACTCTGGTGTGAGAAACTGAAAGTGTAAATGAGGACCAAAATGTATAATAGATAATGTGAAATAAGAAGAAAAGGTCCAAAGAGGAAGAGGAAGTAGGGAGTGGTGGGAGGGAAAAGGGAAAAAGAGAAAGAAAAAGTGATGAGAAAAGACAGAAAAAATAGAAACAAAGTCCACTGTAAATAGGGAGAAGTGGGAGGTGGAAGGGAGGGAAGGGGAATGGGGAAAAAAGAACAACCTATATATATCATGTGCAGGTACAAATTCCCAATGATGAATGTGATCATAATGTATACCTTAAATGTACCAATAAACTTAATTTTTAAAAAAAGAATTTTCAGTTTTTAGGTGCAAAATCAATGTTATCATATTCTGTGCATCTCAGATTCTTAACACACTACTGTCTTCTAACTGCAGGCCCACAAGAAGCACAAAATTCCTTCTGAAGTTATCTTTCAGTTTGTCAGAAAGTAAAATACTCTTCTAAATTAACATGTAATTCTAATTTTAACCAAATCAGTTTTGAAGAAGACTCATACTTGAGCCGGGGATTTAGCTCAGTGGTGCCGTCGCCTGCCTCAATAACACAAGGTCTTGAGTTCAATCCCGGGTATGTATGCATGTATGTATGTATCTATGTATGTATAAATAAATAAATAAATAATAAAAAAGAAAGAAGAGGGCCAGGGATTTAGCTTAGTGGTTTCATCACCTGCTGTGCAAGCGCAAAGACCTGAGTTTGATCCCCAGTACCAAAAAATAAAAAATAAAAAAAAAGACTCATACTTGTTGAGTCTACCTTTCACTTTCTAAAACAAAGATCTGCACAGGGGAAATTCAAGTAGATTCAGAAAACCAGCTTCAACTCCCAAAGCTTTACTTTTAAATAGCCTGCTTACCACGTAACAGTAATAGCAACCACCTCTATTCACAGGTAGCTGCCTAAGATCACACCCCCAATAAATAATAGAGCTGGCACTTAAAACCGGGCAACCTAACTGCAAAGCACTCTCATATCAAGTCCCAAATTTCTACCCTATTTCATCTGAAAGACTGCTTTAGGAGATTGACTGAGATGCTATATACAGAAAGCAACTGAAGCTTCGCAGTGTCAATATAGCAGAGCCTATTGAAGATGGTGGATGGAGGGTCAGGGGGGTCTTGTTCAGATGGAGAGCACATGCTTAGTACATGTGGGGCCCTGGGTTGAATCTCCAGCACACAACATAAACAAAAAGAAAGGGAATGGAATGATTTGGTTAAATCTGTTGGTCCAAGTAAAACAAAAAAGACTAGGTTAGCATATCAAACTCAAGAATTCAGATTCATCCAAGAAACAGGACAAGTGGAAACAGGCTGAATATACTTTTATTGAAAATCAGAGCCAAGAGCTGCACTGAGTCTTCCAGTACAATATACAGGAAAAGACAACTACAAGGTATTATGAGTTCCAGAGAACTCTAGAGAACCTCTCCTGACTTTCCGTTTTATTCCTACCACTTTTATTCTGTAACTAGATAGAAGGGGCAGAAATACAAGGGAAAAGGAATGCCAATTTAACTCTTCCTCATCACTCACCTAAAAGGACGTGATTCAGTGAAGATTTGGAAAGCTTACTAATGTGCATGACACTCAGTTATACATCATGTCCTAAAAGCAGTATTTCTGTGCATCAAAGATAGTCTCTGCCCTTAAGCAAATCACAGAACACTTGGCAAAGGGACAAAGAGAAAATTAATAAAGGCACAAATATTCAAAAGAAAGATATTTAACAATATACATACTATAAAATCATTAAAAACTTTCAAACAAGTGCTGAAAAGGAGGGCTTTTAGAGATAGTTCAGAGACTTTCTCGAATATGAGGAATATGAGAGGTAAGCAAGCTTTAAAATACTAGAATAGACAACAAATCACCATTTGAATAAACTAAAATGTACTTCAAATAAGCTCACTGTATAACGAAAATCTGTCTTGAATTTTTATAAAAGAATGGGAGTTCATAATCTCTCCAACTTTGACAGCATGCCAACAGTACATTATCTTGTTATCCATACCTGAAACTAGGCAGAGGCAGCCAACCTGGCAGCAGCCAGGCTGCATGGCTAAAACCTCCATCCAGATCTGCATACAGCTGTGCCACCTGCTCACTGAGTTGACTTCTGATCTCTTTTCCATGTAAACAATGGCTAGCTGTTAAAATTATGAGCTCAGAAAGAGCTTCAAACAAATCTAGAGAAGAAAAAGATCACTCTTTATTACTTATTTCCAAAAAGGCTTATGAAATATTGTTTTGTTGAATATATAAAAGATAGTGATAGAAAACTGGGAATTAAAAAACTGAAGAACAAACAAGATCCTATTCATAAAAAAATCTACAGACAGATATACAGCTGTACACACAGAACACTAAAGTCAATAGACTAGATCACAGGACACACTGTCCTCTGGAAAGCCACAACAGACACCACACAAAGGCATCTCTAAACCTCATGGGCTCTTCTTTACCTTGAGAATAGGGATAAAATGGAGATAAAAGTGAACAGAATTGTTTGATTTTCAGGTCACAGCACAACAAATCAGAAAAAAGATTATTTAGTTCCTATGAAGACAAAGAAAGAGGGATTTCCTAAGGAATGACAGTTCAAAGATCTGAATTATTCCCAGGTCAAATACAGGAAGATTAAGACTAAAAACTGAAGTTTGGGCAATATATAAAAGGAAACTATAATCATCAATTTGTATATTCCAACACTGGCTAGAGATGAATCTAGCAAGCACACTTTGGTGATACTTAAAAGTGATAAAAATTATCCAATTAATTTCCTGTTCTTTCATTCTACAGTAAACAAAAGAACATCCCATTAACATTTGGCTTTCCAATTAGACTGCCAAAAAAGAGAAGATCAGCTAATACGCTGGTCTTACGAATGCTATAAATATATGTTTCACATGTATTTAAGTTGGCATTCTAATTTGCACATCAGTTTTTCGTATGGTTAGAAAATATATCACATCGGGCCAGGGATTTAGCTCAGTGGTTCTGCAGCCTGCCTTGCAAGCGCAAGGACCCGAGTTCGATCCCCAGTAACAAAAAAAAAAAGAAAATATATCACATCAACTATAGGGGTAAAGGGCCGGGGATTTAGCTCAGTGGTTTCGCAGCCTGCTGCGCAAGCGCAAGGACCCGAGTTCAATCCCCGGCACCAAAAACAACAACAACAACAAAAAACTTTAGGGTTAAAAATAAAATCAGGTTCCTACTCTTCTTAGAACAGCTGAAGCTCACACACAGAATGTGATGCCCTGCTGTACTGTGAGCAAATAATTGCTCCCTGCTCCAGAGAGGGCAATCACTTCTGAAGAAATACATTAATCCAATCTAGTGAAAAACTGGAAAACAACTCCTTGGTAAGCAGAACACATCATTCTCATTAAAAGCAAGGTAATTCTACATACACTATGCTGTTTTATATTAACACACACTCTCTCTAGATTTCTAATCATGGACAAGAAGAAATAACAGGACAAATGTAAAACATTTTGCTTACTTTTTTCTCCATTTTCTCCCCAACTTTGAAAGTATTCCTGTGTTTCTTTTTCAATTATAGAAACGTATTGTTTAAAGTGGGCTATGTTAAGGCCAGTTTTTAACATTTTCTTCTGCTCCAAGAAAATCTAAAAAAAAAAAAAAAAAAAAAAATCAAGCTTATATACCATTAAAATGTTTGTTACATCATCCAATTCATTAGGTTATTCTAACTATATAACACTCAAAGAAAACATCCTGAAAAACCGAAAAAAAACAGTAAAAGTATTTTTTAAAACTATACCAGATATGGCAACTTAGAGCATCTATGCATTTATATGAAGTAATGTGGAGGACAGTGTCTGCTACCAGGGTCCTAGATGAAGTAAGTAAGAAGCCCACCTTCTGCCTTCCTTCCTACATACCCTTTTCCCACTCCTAAGTCCAGAGCTCCCTTTTCCTATTCTATTAACTTCCAGCCTTCAACCCAACTCAAACAACAAAACAACTTCCTGAAGGCCTATTTACAGCTTGATTCTATTTTTATCCACCTTAACTATTCTCTTCCTCTATTTCCAAACAAATATCCTTCCTCACTGATACTATCTTCCAGAATATAATGAAAATATAATCTGAATAAAATAAATTCACACAAAGACAACTAATGGTTAATCCTCTGGGGCATTTATATCTTAAGAGTCTAATAAAATAGGAGAAGAGAAAAAAAAATGGGAGAAGGGCCAGGGACTTAGCTCAGTGGCACCGTGCCTGCCTTGCAAGCACAAGGTTCTGAATTTAATCCCCGGTACTGCAAATAAATAAATACATAAAATAAAATGGGAGAAGAAAAATAAGTAGATAAACCAAACCTAACCAGGGATTTTCTGAGGGGTTTGCTTTTGAACTTGAGTAGTCATTCTCCCCATTTCCAAAATGTGCCCATTTCTAGAAATGATACTTAAAGTCTACATTTAACTGCCATACTTGGGATTATGGCTTGTGTCTGGATATCCCCCCAAACCCTCATGCAGTCATGAGGAGAGGGAGGGCTTTTCAGAGGTGGCTGAATCTAGAGTGTGTGATTACTAAATCAGTCCACTGACTGGTTGGTTTGGCATAGTTCTGGCTAGGATTAAGGGTGTTAGTGCCACACTCTCCCAAGGGCAGGCAGCCTGCATAAAATATAACAGACAGAAAGAGTGTTAATATGCTGTCACTATGCTTACTGTGGACTGTTCCTCCTCTGATGCCCCTCTGCCATGCCACCCTGCCTTGGAGCCAGCCAACTATGGACTGAAACCTCTACAAACTGTGAGCCAAATAAACCTCTTGTCCTTTATCTTTGTGTGTTGGGTATTTTGTCTCAGAAATGAGAAAAGCAACTAAGATACTTGGGTACTGGGCTATATGTGTTAGCCAAAGTCCACAAACCAAGCAACTGAGCTGGTTATCTAAGTTATGTTCTGTATCAACTTACATTTTAATAATTAACTTTAGAAGAGAAAACCTCACAACAAACATTCACTTTACCTAAAGGCGTACATTAGAAAGAGGACTTCTGAAGTCAGCAATTTCTAACTCACAGCTCTTATGCTAGAATTTCAGGGAGGAGTAGATATGTAGAAAGCCTTTTAATGAACTAATGGAATTTTCTTATTACTTTCTCAAATCAAATCCCCATATGCTCTTATCATTGATTTCATTTCTTTGTATAGGAAGCCCTTTAAAATTATTTAGGCTATACTAGCAGGTATAAAACAAAATATACTTTCCTTATCAGTTACCCATGGTTTTTCTCCTTTCAAATGTCTCATGCACCTCCAGATTTTTTGAACCGAGGAATAAATTGCTTCTACATTGTAAATGCATAATACTACACTACTAGCTATAAATATTATAGTACAGATTTGTTCTTATTCAAAATAAGTGTCACCTACTGCATTAGGAACGTCATACGCGACTCCCTTCCCAAACACAGGTGTTGTCAGACGACTGTAGACATCTTCTGCATTCAGGTCTTCATTTTTACTATTAAAAAGCAATGCAGCAGCATCGCTCCCCAGAAGGTAAGTAAAAGTCTTGCCCACCATGGTAAAACTAAATACGGGTCCATACTAAAAAGAGAAAAGCACTCATGGTGATGTTACAAAAAAATTTCTTAAACCATACAATACATGGCCAAAAATAAAACATTTATACATCTTAAAGCAATTCTTTTCAACTTGCCACATTAACCCCTCTTGTACTTGTCTAAATTTATAATTAGTTGCAAATTTGGTATAAAGACAACTTTATTCTTTTTTCCACTTTTTATACTGAAAATATTTTCTATATTTAAACATTAGTGATCTACTGTTTTCTAGTATTACATACCAAGATGTTAACTTAATTGCTTTTTCATTATTGGGCTTATGGGTAATGCTGTCAAGGTTGTTTTAATAAATAATTCTGCAATGAGTATCTCTGAGAAAATACAGCCCTCTCCCCTTTAGCTGAAAATAAATTTATAGAGCGGCCAAAAGATATGTCCTTTTCTATAGAACATACTATGTGAAGACACAAGAAGTTTATGTCATTATCAGTTTTACACAATCTCACCAACACTGAATGATTTCATCTTGTTTATGTTACTCTTGTTAGGTGTTATAAGCTTCACTTTGCATTTATTATTATAACTGTTGTTGAAGACTACACTTTAGGAATATAATCATGAACAAAAATACTGTCCCTAACTCACGAAGTACAGTCTCTTGGAAAGGACACACATCAAGTAACACATTAACAAATGAAAAGGCTGGGCATTTAGCTCAGTGGCTCCGCTGCCTGCCTCGAAAGCGCAAGGACCCGAGTTCGATCCCTGATACCAAAAAAAAAAGAATAACAAATGAAAACTTGCAGGTGTTACATATTACACAAAGGAAAACAACTGTGATGAGATAACCACAAAAGGCAGACCTAAAGAGGAAGACACCTGCACTGAGACCTGAAGGACGGCAACCAAGAATGCCCAATGGTCCTGAATGTGAGGGTGGGAAGGATGAGATGAGACAAGGGTCAGACAGAGCCCACACCACAGAGTCTGATGAGTCAGGTTAAAGAAGTTTTTGCTTGCAATCAAAGGGGGAAGTTTAAAGTATGTGGAAAAGACACGATTAGTCTTTGTATATTTTAAAAGAAAGATGTCTGTGACTGCTATGCACAAAGGATGGAGAGGTAGGAGCAGAAAAGATCCCAAAGGACCAGTTGAGAACCCACTGCACAAACCAGATAAGCTCTTGGCACAAACTAATGGTGGAGTAGGAGACATAGAAGCAAACAGATAACTAAGTTATTTTGGAAACAGTCTGCAGACTTGGCAATGGATTGACAGAGTAAAAGAATTATCAAGAAGGAATTTTATTTCTGGCACACTGCAAAACCAGAAAAGCAATGATAACAGAATAAGACAGGACCCCCAGAACTGGAGAGAGAAAAATCAGCAGTTAAATATTAAAAATACTGGATTTCAGATACTTTTAGATAACTAAGAATCATTTCTTTCTTTTCTTTTTTTTTTGGTACCAGGGATCAAACTCAGGACCTTGCGCTTGCGAGGCAGGCAGCAGAGCCACTGAGCTAAATCCCTGGCCCATAAATAACTAAGAATCATATGGGAATTGGACATCCAGGTCAGTAGCTCAAAGAGACCAGAGCCACAAACATTAATTTGGGTGTTGACATATGGCGGTGTTCAGTTGAAGCTACATGGAGAAAATCACCTAGAAAATAAAGGGATATAAGCCAAGTATGGTGATGCACACCTGTGATCCCAGCACTCAGAGGCTGAGGCAGGAGGATTACTGTGAGTTCAAGGCCAGCCTGAACTACATAGGGAGTAGTCCGAAAAAGAAAAGAAAAGAAAGGGATATGACTAACCTCAGCAACCAAGCACCAACAATAAATGGCCAGGCCTCTTCCCACAAGTGAGTTAGAAAGAAGCAAAGAGGACAAGTTTACTGGAGAGACTCAAGGGAACTGCAGAGTAATTAAACAGGAGTTACAGAAATAAAAACAGTGTGCACAGACAAATTACAGAAGGGACAAAGTGGTTAAGTGAAGCTCTGCACTGGGCATCACAGTGCCTGCCTATTAATTAACCCAGCTACTCTGGGGACAAATGGAGGAAGATCACAAGTTTGAGACCAAACTGGGCAATCTTGGGAGACCCTATCTCAAAATCCGAAAAATAAAAATAACTGGGCTGGCCACGTAACTCACCTAGCATGTCTGAAGCCCTGTGTTCAATCCCCATTACTGAAGAGAAAGGAAAAATATTTTTACTTTTAAATGAACAACACTTGAGAATTTTTCAGAACAAAATAGAAAGATCCAGCTAAGAGAAATGATAGTATAAGGTTTCTGAGACAAAAGAAAAAGGAATGAAGAGTTCATCTTCCAATAAGAGGCAACATATTGTACAACAAAACTAAGGTAGTAGAATATAGTGAGCACAAGATTCTGGAGCCAGATTGCCTGGGTTCAAATCCCAGCTCCTCCACCTATCAGTGTCTGACTTTAGTCCTACAGTCAGAAAACTTAACCTTTCTCTGTTTCAGTTTCCCTCATCTATAAAAGTTATAAAAATAGTACACACTTCACAGAGCTGCTGTCCAAATTATGTAAATTGTATGTAAAGGACACAGAAGAGTGTCTCAGCCATAGTAAATGAGTTCTTTCCTGTCATTATTATTATTATCAAAAACATAGGCCCAGGGGCCAGGGATTCAGCTCAGTGGTTCCGTTGCCTGCCTTGCAAGCGCAAGGTCCTGAGTTCCATCCCTGGTACCAAAAAACACAAAAACAACAACAACAAAACGAAGGCCCAGAAATCAGGCCATGTCTAATTTGGCTTGGGCACTGGCTGGCAATGAGCCCTGGAACAAATTATGTAACTTCTGTTTCTCATATTTGTTATCTACAAAACGTACATATTCAGGGTTTTGGTGGACATTCAGTGAAATAATCTATGCAAAGCACTAAATCCTAGCACTATTACAGGAAGACAACAGAACATAGAGACAAGCAGGTTTGTATGTCTGAAACTAAGAACATGAGAACTCTCACTGAATGGTTGGTTTTTAATCAGTCTTCAGGGGACAAAGTCACTTGCTTTGATAGAAAGGTAGAAAGATTTATAAATTTATGCTGGGTATGGTGGTGCATATCCATTATCCCAACACTCAGGAGGATTGCTGTGAGTTTGAGGCCAGCCTAAGCTACACAGTGAGTTCAAAGCCATCCTGAACTAGCAAAACCCTATCTCAAAAAAAAAAGAGAGAAAAAAAAAAAAATTAAAATTCGTAAGTTCAGAAGAGTAAAGATTTGAACTAATTATTGAAATGAATGGAAAGTCAGCCAGTCATAAGAACAAAACAGAATTGTTGAGCAGTATTTAAATTTCATGCAGGGCAAGCAATCATGAAATAGGAAAAAACTCATCTGGTGCAAGAAAGGAGAAAATGAGTAACTGACTCTTCCCACCTTTGGAGTTTTGCCAACTGAGATGACCAAAAAATCTAGGACCCAGGAAACTGAAGGTCTTGGACAGAATGTAACTGAAATGATGGACAATGAACCAAAAGTGAAAAAAGAAAAATGAAGAGGACTGACAGATCAGGAGAAAAGAGGGAAAGTGGAATAGATAATCTAATGAAATCAAGAATGGTTATAATTATAATTATAATTATAATTAAAGGAGTTGCACAAGCAAATGAGTGAGTGATTTAAGAACTAAGAAAAAGTTGTAGGGTAGAACAGGGGACAAGTCTGTGAGGATTAATCACTGTCATTTTACTGGATTAAGAAATACCTAGGAAATCAGTATAGCACAATTGTGAGAACTGTCTGTAAGGGATTTCCAGAGATTAGTATGTGAGATAAAAACCTGGGCTGAGAACTACCTTGAATGTAGGTGCCACCATCTAATAGAGCCTGGATGGAACAAAAATAGCAAGAGGAATATGCCCACCAGGACATCCTCTCTCACTCTGCTTTCTGGCTGCTACAAGATGAACAGCAATTCTCCACCATGAACTTTCAGTATGTTTCTGCAGCAGAGTCAACCAACCATGTACTAAAACTTCAGAAAGCATGAGCCAAGTAAAAATCTCCTCCTTTATTTACCTCAGGTATTTTGTCACAGCAAGTCCAAAGGAGGGCTGAAGAGTATATGTGATACAAGATAGCTCATTACAGAGGAAAGCACAAAGATTTGAGTGCTCACTGGTATTCAGTGGGTCACCCAAGTGGAGAGTAAGTCACAGGAGAGGTATAGAAAAGGTTAGAAATTCCAGAGATGCATGGTTAAGAAAAATGAGGGTCAATTTTACCAATTTTAACTATAATTAGTGAAAACAAAATTTAGAACAGTATTTTTTAAACAATAATTGCCAGAACTACAGGTTTCCTTGGATGCATCTCAAACTACCTCAGGACACGAGCAGAAACTAAAAAGAGTAGCAGCCTACAAGGCCTCTCCAATCTTAAATCAGGGCAGCTTCCATTTTATGTTTTCTATACCATCAATAATCATAAGGACACAATTTTTTTTTTAATGTTCTTCTATTTAAAAGAAAAGTTTGTGGGCCAGGGATTTAGCTCAGTGGTTTTGCCGCCTGCTGCGCAAGCACAAGGACCCGAGTTTGATCCCCGGTACCAAAAAAAAAAAAGAAAAGAAAAGTTTGGAAAGCACTTACCTAAACTAGTTTCTTTTTCTCTAATTATTTAGAAGACTTACCTTCTCATATGCATTCTCTAGGAACTCAATAGGATTTTTCCCAAATGCTACAGCATGCCCAAGAAATGGAACTGGGGAGAAAATGTATGGTGGAGTTTTCTATAAGAGAAAACAACAATGAAATTCATTTCTCATTTAATTTTAAGGAAAAATCTCGATTCAGTTGCATAACCAATTTAATGTAATTTTCATTAATGCTAAAAAAAAGTTACTAAAACGTGAAGCATCAAAAGTAACTTAAGAACAGCCAAACTGCCAGTATCTAGGAAGAATGTGGTTTAAAAGAAAAAAAATTCAAAACAGGATAGTCAAACAAGCACCGTAATTTTAAACAGACACTATCATATTACTAGTGGCTCCAGATAACCTTTCTTTTTGGGGGGGGTACCAGGGATCGAACTCGGGTCCTTCCGCTTGCGCAGCAGGCTGTGAAACCACTGAGCTAAATCCCCGGCCAACTTTTCTAACTATTAGTAGTAAGAGCTTTCATTTCTACCACTCTTAATTTTAGTCCTAGAATCTTCCCCAAAGAAAAGAAAACACCAAACAGTAACTTGACCTAAGAGAAATGTTTAATATACATTTACAGTGAACAGAACACATCTCATACTTCTTTCAATCCAAATGAACTAGATCCAATTTTAAAGGAAATTACGTCAACTCTAACAAATTCACTAGCATTCATCATAAACCATACTTTAAATGCTACACAATGAGACCCACAGATTATAACATTAAGTCTCCTGGAAATCAAACCTGCAATGATGACAAAGGATGACACTGCCCAGATGTCTGAGGTCTCAAATAAGAAAGCATTCCTCAAATTATAGTATGATTTAAACACTTTAAACACTAAAAGTATCTTTGTCTTCCCAAAGACAAATACTTCCTCGAAAATCGCATGTGTAGGAAAAATACTAACTCTTGCCTCATACCTGTTATTGTTCAAACAAAAATTTAGAAGTTACTAACCCAGACTGTGCAAGTTTGTCCATTCCACTGTCAGTAAAAGGTAGTTTTCAAAAATTGGTGTTACTTGTTAAGTGTGCATTCATCAAATATATCTGGGAGGTTTAAAGCTAGTGGCCAACCTCTAAATTAGAGAAACTGGTGTTTTTAACCGTATTATAGGGAAGCCCTTCCGGCAGTCCAGTTACTCCCCTCTACCAAACTGAACACATATACCTGGGTGCCCACGTACATCTGCCAACAGCATCACCATCAAGACCCGCACCAAGGGACCCAACTCCGGAGGGCAGCCAGCAAGGACCACAGCCGGGCCAGCTCGCAGAGCCGTCCCTGAGACCACAAAAGCTGCATGCAAGACCCCGCCAGGATCAGACTCGCGGCCAGGGCGATCACAGGCCCCAACACTGAGGCCGGCAAGGCCACGGAGGTCGCGATAGCCAGCGCCACCAGCAGCAGGCTGGTGCCACGACCACCACATCCCAAATCCCAGCAGGGCCGAGAAAGCCGCCACCAGCGCCAGGACTGGGAACCCGGCCGCCCTCCCGCCACCTCGGAAGATGCACGCACCGCTCCGATCGGCAGGGGGACCAGGTGGCCAACGGCGAGGCGGAACAGGTAGGCCAGGCTGAGAGTGAAGGCGCAGGCCACCAGCAACGTGGAGAGGAGGCTGCCGCCCGTCACTTGCTCCACTGCCTGTCCCAGCACTGAACCGCCCGCCTGCAGTAAGCCCAGCAGCGCCATTCCGTCGCCGCCGCTTCCCCCGCCGGACACACTGGAAGCCGGGTCACCGCAGCCCCTCAGAACCGCTGGAGCGAGAGAGAAGCCGGCGGCAGGTGAGGAGGGGCAACCCCCACTCGCCCGCCTCCGACAAATCCCGCACGGCCCCGCCCACCGCTCGCCCCGCGCGCCACCTACCGCGTCACAGAACCAGCGGAGCCTGCTGGCCGCCACGCCCTGACGGAGCACGCCTCGCAGCCAAGGTCTCCTTGCGCTAGAGAGTCTGAGGACGCTGTCTAAACCCGTAGCGCGAGAGGTCCCAGACAAAAGCGAGGGTGGCTTCAGAGATGAACACCTCTGAGAACCGAAGATCCTCGAGCCTGTGGGCCTGGGGTGCGGGGCGCCGGGACCTGGTGCGGAGGGGGCCTGGCGGAGGGATCCGGGGCGGGGGGTGGGGGGCTGCGTCCGTCTGAGCGGCTCGCTCTGTGATTGCACCGCGCGCTCCTGAGGTGATGTCGGCCTATGTCGCGTCACGCGCGCGCTGGGGGAGCACCGCCCTTGTCTGGGCGCGGGGGGCTGCTCCTCCGCCTCTCAGGTGCTGCACTTGGCCTGGAGAGACACCATCTCAGGAGCCCTTGGGGCTTGTGGTCCGAAGGTGAGGGCAGCACTGTCCAGCCCCAGTACAGTTTGACAGGCATTAATATATCGCTGTAGGGGCCCGGGGATTTAGCTCAGTGATTCCGCTGCCTGCCTCGAAAGGGCAAGGTCCCGAGTTCGATCCCTGATACCAAAAAAAAAAAAAAAAAAAGATATATGTATATATATATCGCTGTAAAGTTAGCAGGTGTTCGCTCTTAGGTACGCTGGTTTATAGGAAAACAGGTTTTCAAAAATACTTATAGATGTGATTGAAAGTCGTGACCTCTTTGAGACCCCATTAACCAAGAACACCCAGTATTCTCAGGGCTTAGGGGCTGGAAAGTTTGAAATGGAAGTTCAGTCCTACAGAGTTTACTCCTGTGGCTGCACGTAAGCCTCTCTGATAAAATGACTGTCAAGTTTAATACTGACCAGATTCATTCATTTATCAAGGTAACAGGTTTTGAGGCTGAGACCGCAACAGTGAATAAGGCGAAACACAGACTGTCAGGGAATACACAGGAATATCCTATTGCCTGCCAGACACCTCTTGCTGAAAAGATCTTCTTACAGTCGGTAAATCCAAAACTAAACCTATTATCTCTTCCCGTGCTTCTGCCAGTCTGCCTTCTTGCCATGCCTATGTTGAATGGACACCTCCATGCACCCTGTGTGTGTGTGTGTGTGTGTGTGTGTGTGTGTGTACCGGGATCAAACTCAGGACTTTGCACTTGTGAGGCAGGCGCGGCGCCACTGAGCCACATCCCCAGCCGGTAACCAAATCCTGTAATTCTACCACCTTAAAAATTTTTTCCATTCCTATTGTCACTGCCTTAGTAAGGCATTCATCATTTCTTGTCTGCATTACTACAACAATATCCTGCCTGGTCTTCCTGCTCTGCACTTTTTTTTATCCTGTAGGCCACTGTCACCTCTTAAATCACTGAAGTGGGTTTGTGCCATAACCCCAAAAGACAGTCTTGACCACCATAATCCCAAATGTTGAAATTCTGAAAGATCAAAATTCTTTAGTCTAAAATCCTGAAAATATAACTCTGGAAAAAATAATTTTAAAAATTATTTAAAAGATATTTATTGAGCCAGGGATTTAGCTCAGCGGTTCCGGTGCCTGCCTCGAAAGTGCAGAGTCCCAAGTTCAATCCCTGGTACCAAAAAATAATAATAATAATAAAAAAATAAAAGACATTTATTTACATTGTTAAAGGGGAAAACCAAAAACAGTTGTAAGCCACTTTCAATAAAATAGGCAGTAACATACTCGTACATATCTCTCCAGCCATAAGCATTCAGTTGTACTAACAGTCGCTCTATTGTAACAGTAATAAGCAGAAGAATATTTATAAATTGGTCAAAAGATGGAATGCGTAAATGTAGGTCACTACATTTGGTAATCGTGTGCACTAAGTTTCATAACTGCAGTTATTCTGAAATACAACACCCAAGTCTTGATGAGATTGATCAAAAGCATGTTATGGGTTACCCGTTACTGTTGCATATGCCAAGATCTCAAAGCACATCCCTTCATTTATTAAAGGGGTTGAAATTTTAATGTACTTACATATACACGATGTTTACACACAGAGTCAACATGTAATGCACTTCGGCAGGGGCAAATTTGCAAAACAGCATGAAACGAATCAGAATCCTCTAACCGGGTATTTAGCTCAGTGGCACCATGCCTGCCTCAAAAGGTCCTGAGTTTGGGGGCTGGGGATTTACCTCAGTGGTTCCAGCGCCTGCCTCACAAGCGCAAGGATCTGAGTTTGATCCCCGGTACCGACAAAACAAAAAAAAACGTCCTGAGTTTGATCCCCGGTACCAGGAGAAAAAAAAAATGCTCTAAGTCTTTACACACTATTATATCTCCAGTATTGGAAATCACATAAAAGTGAAGAACATAGTATGGTGAGTTAGTAAAAAAAAAAACTGTTCACAATTTAAAATAGAAAAAAACCTTAAAAATGAAAAGAACTTGAAAAATGAAAAACTATTGCAGTGATACATTATCAGCAATTACAGAAAGGTAATGCATAAGAGTTGACCAACTTACATAATTATCTGTATTAGAACATGTTGAAATGGGAAGGGAGGGCTGGGGATGTAGCTCAGTGGTACTGCCCCATGCCTCACAGTGGCAAAGTCCTGAGTTCGATCCCCAGTACCAAAAATGCTGCTTTTTTTCCCCTTCTTTTATGGCATGGCTCTCTGAGAATACATAATACATACACATTAGTTCTCTGTGTAGCACTACTTTTTTAAAATTCTTGTGCTTCACTCTACACCAATATGAGCATTCTCTATCAAATTTTCCCAGCTTCCGTACCATGCCTCTGTATTGTTTTGGGATGCAGAAATCCATTCTGCCCTCATATACAGACCACAAGCTTGGCAGTAATAATACTGGTGGTCGACCAGCAACACCATTGTGTAAGTGTCTTCTAAGCCTACCTGCACGTAATTAATTTTGAACCATTCAATAACGTTGCTGCTTCCTTGAGGCAAACTTTTAAAAATCATTAAATCTCCTGAAATATCAGCTGGGAATGCCACTTAGAAAAAGGAAACTTTTTTTTTGGTACTGGGGATCGGACTCGGGTCCTTGAGCATGCACAGAAGGTGGCGAAACCCACTGAGCTAAATCCCCGGCCCCTGGAAACTTGTTTTTAAGTAGAATCATAAAGAACTGAAAATTTATTGCTAGGAAAACAAATCTGTAATACAGTAGTATGAATATTGGGTATTAAGCATAATCTGTTGAATCAAGTTAAGAACTTGATGTGGCAAGAAATGTGTGTGTGTGTGCACACACGTGTGTGTATGAGACAAAGGGAGAGACAGACTGTAAGCCAGTTGACCCAAGAGCAACTGAAATATTTAACTTGTTCAGCTGAGACCAGAAACCATTGTGTTAATTTTCCATTTTTAGAAGGCAATTAAAAATTACAATTCCAGTAACCCACAAACCAAATAAAAATGTTGTAGAAGTTAAAGATATGTTCAAAGAGCATTTTTCCCAGCTCATTTTCAGCACCCCAAGAAAAATAAAAGGATCCATGACTATCACAGATGAAAACAAAATGAATGTCATTGGAATCAGTTATTTTTTCCCCACTGAGATATAAAATCTATATAGAAATTTATAACAGATTGTACTTTTCATAGTTCTTTTGTAATTTTCTTTAAACCCTGTTTAATATAGTTTTTTTAATTGTTGTAAAAATGTTGTTTTCATGATTGTGAATCTGTTTCCAGTTCTTTTTCATCTATTTGTATATCAATAGATAGTATGCTGGCTACCAGTTCTAATCAGGAAAAAAATCTTGGAAATGTCTTCATTATAACAGCACATTCAGCAGAAATTACTGATGTGCACGCAAACCATAAAAGGTGCAATTCTTCAAAATCACATTTTGTTGATTAAGTTTTGTTGACAGTGTGCACAGTCTCACTACTATGCAGTTTCACATCCTTGGCCAGGAAGGCTGGTTCACAGTGCTAACAGTCTTGACACTGAGCTACATCCCCATGTCACCAGCCCTTTTATTTTAATAATATTAATAGTATTATTATTAATATATTAATTATTTTAATTTTTTACTGAGCCAGGTGTTCAATAAGTCACTAAGTTGTCCAGGTTGGACTGAAGTCAGCCATTATCCTGCCTAAGTCTCCCAAAATGCTAGGATTACAGGGGAATATCACCATACCCAACTCAAAGGTATGATGTTAAAATTAGAAACTTACACTTTTCAGTGCCCTTTCCATCCTGAATTCTCCATGAAGAAAAAAAGCACTTGAGGACTATAATTGCTTGAAACAGCTTTTAAGACATCAGAGTAAAACAATTAACTGTCTGTGGATGACAACACAAAATGGCTATGGTTAAAGATCTGATGAGAGTTCATTGTAATTTAATTGACAAGAAAATTTGTTATTTCTGTGACATGCAACATTTTAACACAATAACAGAAATTATGAATGATGACAGTATACCAGGACATATCAAGATTTTTAGGTTTCTGTAATTTCTGAGATACTTAATGTATTTCCAAAATTCTATACCCAGCAAAAATAATGAAATGATATATGAAGGTCAATTTTGATATGTTAAAGATATACAGTCATACACAGAGAGAAAAGATACGAAAGATAACAGAAAGAAGGTATAATACATATGAGTCACAGTGAAATGTCTAATATACATCCAAAATGAGAGGTAAGAGAGAATGAGACTGAGGCAATCTTTGAGAAAATAATGACTGAGAATTTTCCAAAACTGAAGACAGAGGGGCCGGGGATTTAGCTCAGTGGTTCTGCTGCCAGCCGTGCAAGTGCAAAGTTCCGAGTTTGATCCTGGTACAAAAAAAAAAAAGAGTATAACAAAACTGAAGACAGCAAGTAATGGTTAAAAGACACCAAGGCATAAATTCAAGAAGTTCTGCGACTCCAAGCAATATGAATAAATAGGGAAGGACAGTTTGGTCTATC